ATGTGTGCTCAGGAACACTGATGGTAACGCAGTCTTACACGATATGAGTATGTGTGCTCAGTTACACTGATGGTGACACAATCTTACATGATGTGTGCATGTGTGCTCAGGAACACTGACGGTGACACGGTCTTACATGATGTGTGTATGTGTGCTCAGGAACACTAATCCTAACACGGTCTGGCAAAGGCACTTCTACAGAGCGATACGGTACCTATTCCATCCGAGCCCTGTCTCCCTGGAGCCCTGACCCACATTGGCGGTTACCTGGACAGGATCTTCCACTTCTTATCTCTGTGCCTCTTTATAAGCCCACACATTTTCTCTGTCTCCTCACAGGTAAGCGAAGGCTTAACCCACTAAGAGGCAGCTCAGCTACAACCTGTGCTCCGCGGTCCTTCGCGGGTGTACCAGGGAGCTGGAGGCACTAGAGCCTTGCTCTGGAAATGCACAGCACACCACACAGCACACCACACACAGCGCTATGGACCATACTGCAGCAGATGGCTCCTCTTTCTAAGAGGTGAGAATACACACTCTTCTTCTCACACACATTCTAGATGCTTCACACAGAGTGTAGTACAACAGAGGCTCTCAATATACTTCAGTTCCTGATTGTCCAGAGTTTATGAATAACAGAAGCACATTCATGAGATTGGATATTTTGATTAATAGAGTAGGAGATTAACTGAAATATCACTGTTTCCTACATTTATAAGTTCAAAATAGTTTATCAAGAAAACCTACACAGAGACCACTCCTTCAGGCAGCGGAAGTAAGCAATTTTTACTAAAAACAATAGGTATTATCAACCCAGAGAGACGCCAACAAGAGCAGCTACTTACGGGGTTGCCTAGAACTCCACTGGTACTATGCAAACAACCTTGTCAAATGGTAAAGACTTTAAAAATAAAAATGATTCATGACCATAATTAATGTATGACTTCAACTATTTGGCTCACACTGGCCCAGACGCTTTCTGATCTTACCTTAGGGGCTTAAAACCCACAGACATAGTCACATTTCCTCCCGTCTTCAGTGTTATCCAAATAGACCCTCAGAGCCCTGCCACATCAAGACAGGGCTCATAACGGCCCCCTTTCAAATCCACTGGAGAATAAACGTTTCAAGTGTTTAGGCTTTTCAAAACAACATGGCACATCCTGATCCTCCTGGGGGTGAGGAGGGGAAGGCCCGACATGAGAAGAAACAACTGCCTGAAGACAGGGATGCTTCTGGAGGTCACGCCAAAGAGAAGCATCTATAAAGAGAACCACACATCTAGTCACTTGGGTCAGTTCTCCTGGCAGAGGTAAACACAGCACCCTGCACACTGGATGAAGAAATCAGCTACCTCCCAGTCACCCTAGTGATGGAGGACAGACGTGCCTCGTCACCTAATGTTATCAGAGAGAAGGGCGGGGTAGAAACTAGTTTAATGAAAGTTTTTGGAAACTCGATATTGTGACTATAAAGACATACTTCTAATGAAAGATTGTATACCCAACAGATACTTGTAAACACTGAGAACAACAATCAGATTTTCATCATGATCTCTGGAGCTGAGACCTGAAAAGACGTTTTGGTCTACTTCATGCAGCATGTGAACGGCTACATCTGAGAGGAACAGGGGCACTTGGGACTTCCATGGAAGCAGCGCAGCGTGATGCCATGCAGCCCATGGGGAGGGATGAAGTGGGAGAAGGAAAGGTGGGGACGACCTGAGGCTAGAAGGAGGGCAGACATGACTGCTGCAGAGAAATACCGCAGCACTCCTAAGCACGTACGATTGATATGTTAGTAATTATAATGAAATAGAAAGTGACCACCTGAGCAAAGACAGGCGTTGGGGGCGGGAGAGGTCAGTTAGAGAAGGGAGAAAGTTTGAGCCTGAAAGCAAATGCCCAGCTGCTCTGGTTTGTGCACATTTTAACTGTGTCCCCTAAAGGCTGACATGACAGAAAGCACAGTCCTTGGGGTGGTGGCACTGGGAGGTAACAGAGACTTTAAAAAGTAAGGTTTAGGAGGCATCACTGGGGATGTGCTGTCATGTGACCCTCTCAATTCTCAGAAAGGAGCCGTTATAAAAGGGACACCAGCCCGACACAGCCCACGCTGCCTCGGCTCCTGATTTAAGCCGTGGTCCTTTCACAGATCCTGCACCCACTGCCATCCACCATGGGCATTACAGCCTGTGCTTGCTATGTGGATTCCAGAACTGCAGGCTAAGAAAAGCTCTGCTCCGTGATGGCCTAGTGGCAACAGCAGCACCACGAGGAGAAGACCTCTCTGGAGATGCTTTAGGCATCTGGAGGAATTAAGGGAGGTTCACAAGTAACTTCATATCAATAGGTTTAATTAGATCAAATAGTCAACCTGCCCTCAAACCACTAGTTTCTTTATCTAAAGAGATAGAAAATATAAACCATTACCACCTGTTTAATTAGACTTAAGGAGCTGGAGAGATGGCTCAGAGGTTAAGAGCAGTGGCTGCTCTTCCAGAAGTCCCGAGTTCAAGTCCCAGCAACCACATGGTGACTCACAACCATCTATAGTGGGATCTGATGCTCTTTTCTTGCATAACGTCATACACGTAGACAGAGCCCTCATATACATAAAAATAAATAAATCTTAATAAAATAGATATAATTAGACCCTTCTCAGGTTGGGGGTACAGCTCAGTGGTAGTACTTGGCAAGGACCTGTGAAGCCCTGTGTCAACTCATTGCACTAAAAACATCAAAACAAAATCCACGTCTGCTTACCCAGACCAGGCTCAGAGGCTTGCTACTAAAATATCAGATGTATTAAGAATATTTCAGAGACAAAGTATTTCAATTTGCCTAACAACACAAGTGTTGTGAAATATTTGCTTAACTATGCAAAGATATGCTGCATTTGTTTAACTATGTAAAGATGTGTTACATTTGTTTATGTTGTAGAATATTTTTTAACTATGTAAAGATGTGCCGCATTTGTTTAACTATGTAGAGATGTGTTTCATTTGATTAACTATGTAAAGATGTGTTACATTTATGTTGTAGAATGCTTTTTAACTATATAAAGATTGTTGTCTTTGTTTAATTATATGAAGATGGGCTGCTGTTTTACTTTGCCTGCCTAAGTCGTCTGATTGGTCTAATAAAAAGGTGAATGGCCAATAGCGAAGGACGAGTTACAGACTGAACTTCTGGGCAATGAGAGGAAGTAGGTGGAAGAGTTTAGGCTCAAAAAAAGAAGAAGAAAGGAGACATCAGGG